CTGATCTTCTCGTCAGTCCTCAGGGTGCGTGCGTTGTACGTTGCCAGGTCGAGTCGTCTAAGGTGGCAACCGAACCTCCACCGGAGATTCTTAGCACCCCCTGCCCCGCCGTTACCATGGTCGCCACCGTAGCCAGGAATAGCGGGGCCGCCGGGGACTGGGGGCCGTCTCTTTGTTACATTCATAGGGGGTTATTTGCCATAGTTGCCACGCTTGGCGAGCGGGTTGGCAACCGCAGTTTTTTTATTGTAATTTTGGCTATTATCAGGAAGATGCTGCTGCCCATCTCCTGCCTGTTTCCCTTTGTCGCCTTTTACGACACCCACGGGAGGATATGGGGTAGTGGATATTCTTGACCGCCACTACACGGCAAACTATTTTGTTTACTGTACGTTAAATGAAACTTTATCAATTAATAAAATTTGCATATCGGTCCCTTTATACCGTTTTCGCAACCTCCCTTATGGTGGGGTTAGAGTTGTAAACTTTCCTACTTTATTAAAATCACAAAAAGTTAAAAGAGGCGATAGTAGTGCCCATTAGTTTGATGGAAATCGTTAAAGTATTAGGTACGAGGGTGGATTGAAAAGTACTCGGCCTAACCAAGAAAATAAACACATACTAAATCAGTTATATTTTTATTTTTCTACATAATCACCATCAAGTTCAATACACTTTTGCCACCTCCCCTTCCAAGCATTTAGACCGTTGAAAAAAAATGATTCTTCCTTAGAGTCAAAATATGCGTCTACAGCTGCTTTGACCTCGTCGTTTTTCGAAAATCTTTGACCTCCCAAGTGCTTTTTTAGGTTAGGGAACAGAAAGAAGTCTGATGGTGCCAGATCAGGTGAATACGGCGGATGCGGTAACAGTTCAAAGCCACAGTTGTGAATTTCAGCCATTGACTGTACTGACGTGTGAACACGGGCGTTATCTTAATGAAACAGGACTTTTCTTCTCAGCATTCCTCGACGTTTTTCATTTATTTCCTCTCGTAAACGACGTAGTAAGGTGCAGTAGTAATCAGAGTTTATGTTCTGACCCCTTTCAAGATAATCAATCATAATCACACCTTTCGAGTCCCAGAATACTGAAGCCATCACCTTATTTGCCGACAAAATGGACTTAGCCTTTTTAGGGGGTGGTGAACCAGGTCTTCTCCACTGTTTTGATTGTTGTTTTGTTTCCGGTGTACAGTAATGAACCTATGTTTCGTCCATAGTAACAAAACGATTCAAAAAATCATCTGCATCGGCTTCAAATAACTCCAAACAGTCGCGTGAAATAGTCAATCGCGTCCTTTTTTGTTCAACTGAAAGCAGTCGCGGAACCCACCTCGCAGACACCTTGTGGAAACCCAACTCGTTGACAATGATGTTTTGAGTTCGTTCATAAGAGATGCCTATAATCTCGGCTATCTCTCTAATTTTTAATCTGCGGTCTCCCATTATTAAATCAAGTACTTTTTTAATATTTTCGTCAGTAGTTGACGTCGAAGGCCTTCCAGAGCGGGGTTCATCTTTCACACTCTCTACCACGCTTAAATTCTGCTATCCATTTTTTGACGGATGAATATGACAGAGCACAATCGCCTAATGTACTGACCATGTCATCATGGATGGCTTTTGATGATAGCCCTTTCTTATGGAGGTACTTAGTGACGGCACGCTGCTCGATTTGCTCCATTCACGGAAATTATGTCCGATTACTTTGTTAATAAATTTATAAAATCACAACTAATTATCGCACACGTTTCGAACTTCACACAATGAACTAGTCTGAACTGAACTAAATAATGTGGGTAGATTTGATTTTTAGAATTGAATGGATCTGTGTTAGGCCGAGTACTTTTCAATACACCTAGGTACTTTCTACTAGATCGCTTTTGATTCTTAACTCACTCCTTGAACGCGCAAAATGGATCATATTATGTTGTGTTATACCGATAAAGTCCAATATATTTCAAAAAAGTATATTTATTCAATATATTTTAAAATATTTAAAATATATGGTTTATAAAATTTGGTCGATTTTTTTATATTAAAAATAGTATATACATAGAAGGGTTTTCTATCACACAGGGCTCACGGATCAGTGAAATTAAATACTTAAATCTTTAAAAATACCCACTAATATCATCAAATCAAATGTTTTGTATAAACTAACGTCAAAATTTTACATTGATACTTTTTTTTTTATAAGATAGGGGGACAAACGAGCAAACAGTCCAGCTGATTTTAAGTGGTTGCTGTGACCCATAAACATCTACATCTATCCTCAATATATAATCAAAATGTCGTTTCTCAATATATAAAAAAAAAAGTTGTTACCCGTAAGGACTAAGATGCAATGCCTATTTTCCAGTAAAAAGGGTCTCCGGTCCTCTACACTCACCATAGCAAACAAAGCAGTGTTAAGCTGCTATTTTGCGCTGGTATTCTGTGAGAGCGTGGTCCTTCGCGAGTCGAGCCGACTTACTCTTGTTACAACTAAACTACTAAAATAGCTGCAGCATGGCTCTACTACGTATAAAATGTATTATGTGTTTAATGCTAGTATAGAGTCATACCTAGGTGGTAGGATGCTTACTGCCCTATTCCTGCCACCAAGCAGCAATGCGTGCATATTTATGGCATAGAAGCATTCCACTTTAGTCATCAGAGGTAGCGAGGCATTTGTAACCCTTTTTCCTTGAAGTTGGTTGTGGGCGTCCATGAGCTGCATAGCCACAGGTGGAATCTAAATAAATTTGGCACTTGAATAATATCTAAATGACCATGACCTTTGCTCCATAACCCTTTCAGAAATTAGAGGAGACCTATACCCAGCAGTGTGATGCGTAAAAGCTATAGCTTTACTTTACTTTACTTCTATAATATATTAACCCTCTTTTTATAATGAAATTAAATACTAGCGATGCTATTAACAATATGCTATTAAAATGCTTGTGTTAGGAGTGGTTCAAGACAGTAGTCGAATGGCGGATTCGAACTCACGAACATTTGAGTTCGCGGTCCGCACCCTGCCATTAGGCTACAGTCGCTTTAATACTTATTTTTTCCATTTTATTTAATTTAAAAGGCCGGCAACGCATCTGCAATTCCCCTGGTGTTGCAGTTATTCATGGGCGGCGGTAGTCACTTACAATCAGGTGAGCCGCATGCTCGTTTGCCCCCTGTCCTATAAAAAAATAAAATAAAATAATAAATAAACCTGAATTTATGATTTATCTATTTAAGGTGATTTTATTTTAATATTCATGTTTTTTAAGATTAATAAGATGTAGCTAGTAATAGAAATATATCATCCCATTTACATATATACACACTACATTTCGTACTGTGATTGTCATTGTAGACGACTATGAGATAAGCCAAAATAATCTTATGACTTCCAATAGATCTTTTTATATTAGGGAAAATACTTGTACCATCTTGCCCATAGCTGGTCTAAGTATGTTGTCCTGGCTTACTAACCTGGACCCTGCAGCGTCAATGGTGCGAGACGTCTGGTTCTGCGTGACGATTGAGAGGATTATTAAGTGTCGATAAGCGGCGCGTGTATTTTCGGTATTTTCCAAAATGTTATCTGTTTCATACCGCTCGCTCCGAATTGCCGTATCGTGCGATAGAGAGAGTTGTGAGTATTTGAAGCAATTACCTAGATTTCCTTTTTGAAATAATGTTTCGGGCGATAACGTTTTCACCCCCTTAAACCTTTCCGAAATGAGACAATTTTGGTCTCATTAGATTCAGTACACCTTCTAGTTCACCATCTAGGTCTGTACTTTATTCTTTTTTAGTAATTCAGTATAGTTTAATAAAAAAAATAAAAACGATCGAAGTTTTTAAGTCAGAAATATAGATATTTAGATGCTAATAACTATGTAAGAAATATTGCGTACTATATTATATGTGTAATAATATAAGTTCGCAATATTTCTTTAAAATAAAAACATACGGACCTAGTCTTTCATTATATCTACAATATTTCCAAACGTTATGAAAATTAGACCATATTTACAAGGGGAAAAACGGTATTACTTTTGGAATGAAGTTCTTTATTGTACGGTACGGATTTGGCAGATGGGGGCTAGGCGACAAAGGTGTAATATTTTTCCTTCACGACCCCTTCTGACTTAGTGTAGACGGCCTTGAAGGCTATAAGGAAGCGAGATGGAATAATATCCAACTCCTTCGCGCTTTTTCTTGCCATGAAATATTATTTTATTTTAAATGACGCTTTATTTTAATAGACGATAGTAATTCATTTATTTGTATTTGTTAATCCATAATATAATACGTTTATCAATAATAATATACTACGAAAGGAACTTCGTTCCAACCGAGTGTTCCACGACACTCACGCATGTTTTTATATGAAAATTTACAGCTTCACAATCCTCTTTAGACAAAATCTCTGCAGAAGGTAGAGTCTCATGTCCAGAAGCGGACTTCTTCAGACTCATGATGATAATGATAATTATACCTAAAACTCAATAATGTATCATTTGTTTAATATTAGTTGGATTTGTACATGTTCGCGCGTAAACTGCGGGCACAGCTAGTAGATTCAAAATTTGTTCTAATTTATCAAACTAAATTAGCTAAAGCAATTTTTATATCAGTGTCAATTTCAAATTATAAAATTTATTTATTTATTTAGGTACCTTACAATATGTAATAAAAACCACATTATCTTAAAACTGTACACGCAAACAAGCTGTATCTTAATTAGGTAACCATGGCTAGGTAAAATTACAAGAAATCGACCACTAAAACATAAAAAAGCTGAAAAAGTAAAATTGTGAGTAAAAGCGAACTAATCACACTAGCTAAATTGTTTTCGATAATAAATAATTGTGAGTACAGATAAGATCACATTTTCCGTTTAAATCGGTGTCTATGTGCTAAATCGATATCCATTACTTTGTCAATAAAAATTTTTACTGTGTGAAAAAATTACCCAAAATTACTTTTAACTGAAATTTCATAACTCACCGCTAATATGAAAAACCCATGGTTTTTTATATGTTTCTCAATATCTTCAGCATTTTCGTAGGCCTCTGGTTTAATGATCGCTAATGTCCTTTCGGAATATGAATGATACTCCGCTTCCGAGTCTGAAGATGCTGTGGACATACTTCGCCAGAAAATAATAATACGTATAGACAATGGTATGTACTGCAAACAGAATATAAAACACTAGGTACCACAGAACACTAATACCCTTAGGCGGGAAGAATGTCAACTTCAAACAAAGAAAATGGCACCAATAATGCACGCCATCTCTGTCGTGCCCCCTAAAACTTTTTGCGCGGGAATTTTGACACGTGATTTTTTTTTAGTTGTCGTCTTGGTTGTTTCGTTTCAAAAATGGCTTAAGAATGTAAAATACCATATAGATAGATATAGCTTGTAGTTTTTCGTTTCAATGATATATATTGCTAAATTAAAACGAAAACAAAAGCACAAAGTTATTTGTAAATTATGGTACTTTACATTCATAAACCACTTTTGAAACGATTAGCAATCATTTTAATATAAAAAAGGAACTATTTTTCAAATAAAAGTGGTTTTTGAAATACATATTTTTTATTTACATTACATACATTGGTACATAGAAAAACCGTTGGTACATTGATGGACGTAAGTGACGGAGTAATTAACTAATTTTTAACATGGCATATGTAACATGACATTTAAGCAAAATGGAAAGTAAAAGTACATTGGTTTTATATAAAAAAGATTAGACAATCTAATATAAACACTTTTTTCTAACAAGAAAACATTATTTACATTCACATTCTACAAACAAGGCAATAGCTTTGCAATATTATGTCTAAACTCCAATAACCTGATTATATTATAGATGCCACCAATAATATTACATTTGTAGAAATTATTTTCGTTATGTTATTGTTATTGACTGCATTAAAAACTAATAAGTCAACATTTTCATGTCATTAAGTAGCACTACCTGCTGCAAATCCATCCACGAAAAACAAAAAGGATAAAGATATGTTGATAAAAATGAAATATCATCTGAGAAAAATTAACAAGCTTCAAAAAACTGTAAAGCATCTAAAGAATGAAGCATTTCTCAAAGTATTGAGCAAAAATGATTCCGTAAATGAAATATTAAAATGTAAAATATCCCCCTCTTTTTCAAACTGCTCTTCAAAGAAAAACTGATATCCTGCAGAATAAATAAGATGTTACATGGATATATACGTAATTAACTAATTTTTAACTTTATGCATGTAAACAGTTCTGAACAGCTCTTAACTAAATATCGATTTAATAGTTAAGTAGTTATTATTATTTTTCGATAATACAGGTAGATGTCTAAGTGTCACAGCATTTACTTGCTAAATTCTATAAAAAATACAAATGTATGTGTTATCCATATCCCACAGTAAACTTAAAAGTTAGTTGCATAGCAATACGATTGTTTGTAGAGTGACTAATAAACTATCCGACATTAAACGATAAAAAGACTGTAAGGTATGATTCGCACCAGTAAAGTGATAGTTTCGAAAATACTATATTCGAAATCCAAAAGTGGCTCTATATGGCAAATATTTAAAAAAATAACTTAAATTTAAATCCTACCTGCCTCGCGGAAGCAAGGAATATCTGACCCACTCCGACTAAAACTCTCAGATGTTTCATCTTCACCACTTATCGGCAGGACTACGGGTACACTTTTACACACATCCGTAGCCTCATCAGCGCTAGTCACTCCTTGGCAGCCTCTCTCGAGAGAGGACAAATTCTCCCTCTCCTTTTATCTCCTTATATAATGTCACCACTGAAGTGATTATGACTGTACATACAGAAAAAGTAGTTCCATGTAATATCTTATTTATTCTGCAGGATATCAATTTTTCTTTTAAGAGCAGATGCAGAGTACTCTTCTGCAAATTGCCGATTTTTCAAAATACAAAATCTCTTCATACAAATGTGAAATACGCTATTAAATAAGTAATCTATATTCATATCTTTATGTTCTGGACATTTATCGAGAAACGCCCAATTTATTGAGTTTTTGAACAAAACTTTAATTGTCCCTTTTAATTTTTTTTTATATGCTTCTGCCTCTAAAAAATCATAAATCATCGTAGCACTACTTTCAATACAGTTAATGAGGTTTTTAGAGGCGTATTTAAGGGACTTTTTTAGATCACTATATTCTTTAAAGTCAATAAAAGTATGTGATCTCTCTTGTGTCTCAGATACAAAAATTTTTTTACAAATTTCACATTTGTTGAGATTATTTTTTACTATAAACCCACAGACATAGGCACATGCTTGTATTTCGCCACTGCTTTCTTCCAAGCTACATTCAAATGTAGAATTTACACTTTCTTCTAACTCATCGGTTAAAATTGTGGCATAAGCAGTGTGTGTGTCTGTGGGTGGAGACAATAAAGATTTAAAATTTGTCAATATAACTTGATTTTGGTCTTCTTCACAATTTCCTGTCCCAATAAAAGATAAGTTGCTAAGGACAGCCGTTTTAAGACCCGCAACAAACTGCCCAGCAGTGGGATTTGAATTGCAGCCGCAATTGGCCCGAATGCATCCAAAAAGATTTTCTAACGGGTCCTGCTGGAGCCTTCTTGTTTCCAAACTTTTTATTGATTTATGTTTAGAACTGAGATTTCTTCAAATTCGTTCTATTCCATTGATGGACCATATCCAACCTTCTTGGGATGGAGAAGCTCGTTTGCATCCCAAAAACGTCAATTCTTTAAAAAAATTCTTCATTAAAGTGAAATGTGTGAGATGTGGTGTATTATTTGTCATGTTTGTCGAATATGGTTTCCCCCTTCTTAGGTCTGGTGTGCATGCGTTGACACAATCAAACAGCTTGTCCATATTTGCAATAACATTAGCTGTAGTGACAGCCTCTGAAGAGAGTTCCCCTGTAAACAACACATAATTTAAGATCTTACTATTAGGATTAAAGAAACATGATTTAAAGTATGTTACAAGACAACTCAAAAATAATATCACATATCAGTATCACACAATAAACAATAATTTGTACTTGGGAGAGCCTAGTTCCTTTTTAAGTTAATAATTATTTTAATGGGTGGACATATGTTTAAATATTATACTTTAAATTATAAATTTAATTTACCTTGTGAAATTTTAGCATACATTCCTGCAGCAACTGAGTGGCTTAACACTTGTGCAGCTAGCTTCACCTTCATCTTCTGCTTCGTATTTGGATTTAAATGTTCTTGTTTTAAGCAAGGTGCAAACACAAAATTGGGATTGGTGTTATCTGTTTCATAAAACTCCTTTATATGGCTCCATTTAGCAACACCTGTAAAAAAAATTTGTGTAAATATCCAGTAAATTGGAAATATGTATAATATTATGATTGTAATAAAACAAAATATCTTACCAAATCCAATTTGATCATTTGATGTTATATTTGTTGGACATTTAATGTCATATTTTAAAAACATATTTCTAAAGCATTTGAGCAAATGCGGAGTATCAAAAATGGTAACCACTTCTCGATTATTTAGCAGAATATATGGCTGTTCTACAGATGCTCCCAAGATACTTAAAGCTCTCTTATTCACACCATCCATATCACACACCGTAGCTGAAATATTAATTCCAGCATCAAAACAATGTTGCAGGACCTAGAATGATAAAAGGGTAAATTAATATGGTAAAATAGTACTACTACATATATTGACATAATAACAAATAAAAGACCATAATGCTCACCTCCTTAGAATAATAAAAGTAATTGGTTGTTTCAGCTTTTTACGGATTCCGCCAATCATGAACACGAGGGCATGTGTTGCCATTTGTGGTGACCTGACCTGCAGTGCATGGTCTTGTTAACCCTCAATTATGTCCTCCTTTTTGTTGTAAAACAAATTCTTTTTTATTGACATCTCATCAAACATAAGGATATACTCATTGTCTAAGGGAGTCTGTTGCTTTATTGCTTTTTTTCAAAACATTAAAAATTTGGTCATTAATACCAACTTTCATGTGAAACTTGCTTAATAACGCTTTTAATGAACTAGGTGTTGGCAGGCAAATCATCCTTCTTAATAATTTGTAGCACCTAGGTGACCTTTTATACAGTTTTAGTGCTATTACTTTGGAGTCCATGTTCCATCTTCGACCTTATGATTTTTTTTTATAGTTTTGCAATTCTCCTTGCAAAAATAATGCAAAAGAGGGGGATATTTTACATTTTAATATTTCATTTACGGAATCATTTTTGCTCAATACTTTGAGAAATGCTTCATTCTTTAGATGCTTTACAGTTTTTTGAAGCCTGTTAATTTTTCTCAGATGATATTTCATTTTTATCAACATATCTTTATCCTTTTTGTTTTTCGTGGATGGATTTGCAGCAGCAACAGGGTTGATATTCTCAGTTACTTGAGGAATATCACTAGTTATGTCAGGAATGGTTTTATAATTTACATTCTCACACAAGGGTTGTATAAATTTTGACGGACCCGCAACAGGCTCAAATACATTTGAAACAGTTATAGTCTTCTGAATATTTTCAGACAGTGGTTGTTTATTAGTTGATGGACCTGCAATATGTTGAATGACATTCCTTTGTTCCAAATTAAGGTCAGCTAATGTGATCTGAAAATTAGAGATTATCAAATCATTATTTATATCATGTATCCCAGCATTGGTCAACCAATCTCTAAATTTCAAACAGCCTTATAAATTTATAAACATTAAATACAACTTGTTTTTTTTAATGAATGTTGCTTTAACACCATTACCACCACCATCCTATTTTTAAGACACTATTTTAACAATTTCTTTTATTTGTAAATATATTCTGTAAGTAACTAAATTATAATCATGTCATTTAAACAACATTGACAGCTCGCGGAGCAGTGGCTAGCATTGAGTTGCAGCATTAAAGGTCACAGGTTCGAATGCTACACGGAATAAGTATTTGTAAGGGGGTCAATTTAAAATTGGTTGCAGATAAAGTCGTCCCTGAGCAAAAATATTTTCTTCTCGGTGATATTAATTAAATTGTTATAATGTTATTGAATTTGTCAAATATGGGGCGAATTACTAAGCTTATTCTCAAGAAAAATGAATTTTATTATTGATTTATCACCACT